TTGTAAGTGCATTAGGTGGGGCGAGCTTTGTTAACCCGGTATGAAACACGTGTGATCGAATTTCGTGAAGTAATTAAAGAGTTTTAATTTGTAGGTCATAATGGAAATGAAACAGGGAACCTAATGCAGGATACAATATTTCTGTAAAAACAATAAATGTTACTTAATTAGGACGATTATGTTTTACAATTTACGTTTGCCTCTCAGATTGTGTGTATTAATTAAACGGTGTTATACCTTACAGATCAATAAACATGCCGGAACTGACTGAACTTGACAAAGCTATGAGCTCTGAACCTACTAAGGTTGAAGTGGCAGCTGCAGGATCTGGAACTGATTCAGACTCTGATGATACTGTCCTAGAATTAGACGATGCACGTGCAGGTGGTACTGTTGGTTTTCCAGGAATGACCGTTGCTTATCTTCCGATTGACATGGTCTCTAAGGCTAAACAAAGTCGTGGAGAGAAGAAAGCTTATGAGTAAATTAGGATTAAAACCTGTATGTTTAGTGAATGTTCACTCTTGTTGCACATCATATTTAAAGATTTTAAATGCTTTTTTTCATTGTATAGGTTCAAGGAGTTAACAGAGTGACTATTCGTAAATCAAAGAATATTTTGTTTGTAATCAATAAGCCAGATGTGCTAAAGAGTCCAGCTTCAGATACATATATAGTATTTGGTGAAGCCAAGGTAAATTTCCTGAAATACTTGTTTACATTATAATTTAGTGGTACAATTTTTTTTAGTATATGATGATCTCTTACAGTTTCGCATATTAACTGATAAATTGTGTTGAAATATTCCTTGGCAGACTGACATTTAGTAAACTTCTTTTTCCTTTCATGAGTAATTTTATAGTTTTTGATAAATGAATAAAAACTTTGTTCCAGATTGAAGACCTCAGTCAGCAAGCTCAAGTGGCAGCTGCTGAGAAGTTCAAAGAACCACCAGTTATTCCAGCAACTGAAGCTGGAGGCAGTACTACTGTAAGATACTTTGTTACAATGTGTAATAACAGGTTTTCCATTATATTGTAACTATTGCCTGCAATTTTATTTTTGTTATAGGTTGTTGCACCTATACAAGAAGAATCAGAAGAAGAGGTTGATGAGACGGGAGTCGAAGAAAAGGACATTGAATTAGTAATGTGTCAGGCCAATGTGTCTCGAGGGAAAGCTATTAAAGCTCTCAAAAATAACCAGAATGATTTATGTTGCTATTATGGTACGTTTTTCAGAAGCAATTGTACTTTTTCTTCTGTAGAATAAGATATGATGATTCATCTTATGGTTTCGTAATTATTTTTATCACAATCAGAATTTAAACATTGTTGCAAATCTTGGCAGACTGATTATATATTTACTTCATAAAAGTTTTACTGTATACTGTTCGAAATATTGACTTTTCGATTCTTTCAGGAATTGACAATGTGATGAAGCTGCGTAGCAGTAGGGTGGGCTACTACATACGTCGTAGTTCACATTGTGAGGTCATCTTATTTTATCATCCGCGTCGTCAGGAAGAAACATCATCCTTTTTGTCTCATTACATTGAAAGGATAAGTTCGAATACCGAGAGACCAGAGTTCGCATAGAGACCGTGATGCTTGTCTCGAAAAATCCACATGCATATACATAATTCATATGAAAAAAATATACTAAGGACATTAGCTTGTTCGTTTCTTTCGCAGAATTACCTTAAGTAGTAGACTACAGATTTAAGGACAACGCACATGATAATTCAAATATTGATCCACTGCATTATCACAGATAAGTGAGTAATATTTATCAAAAGAGCAATTGAAACACAAATTTTTATTTTATGTATCCTTGTGATAAACAAAGATTTTCTATCGTATATGTAGCCTTAAAATATTCTTAGTTTCATGTAAGATAGAGCATTCCCCAAAAATATTTGATTTTACATTCATTCTTGTAACTAGAGAAATTAATTTTAAGTTCACAGCCATTAGCTTGGTATTACCTTCAGTTTACAATACCGAAGATAATACCAATTTCCCGGATCTCACCACGAGGAGGTTGCTGCGAGTGGAGACCCAAAGAATGCAATAAAACACAAGTAATTGAAACAAATAAAAATAAGACATAATTAATTTAAAGAAACAAAATAAGATTTAATTAATTAAAATTAGCTATTAAAAGAAAGACGTTGCGAACCAATTCGTCGCGTTCGGATAAGAGAGATAGCCTCGTAAACCCCCTGGCCTTCAACCACCAATGACCGCCAATGGTTGGCGATGCTAAAAAAAGTTGATTAGAACCTATTAGAAACTTGAAACCACCTGACCACTGGCCACCAATGACTACCAGTGTTATAGGAAAAAAAGAAAAAAAAATCGAACCTGTTAGTCGAGTTCCGATAATAGAGAGGACCCCTTGAATCTCCTTGACCAGTGTCCACCAATGATCAGCAATCAGAGATGAAGACATAGGAAGACCCCGACGAGTGCCGACGAGGTCCGCGGACGCGAGTGAACTGAAGATTTTTCGTTGCGCGCCCGTATTTACGGGCTTGCGGTTACTGCGAGTTGCACGGACAGGTGCGCGAAAATCAAGCACAGTGAAAAATCGAGCGTACCAAAAATTATTTTTTGATTAATTTATTATATCTAACAAAGTCATTGTTATAATAATTACCTTTCTGGGGGATATTGTTAAACAATCTGCCAGCTGTTTTACAATGCAAATTGTTATTGTTTATAACAAATACGGTAAGATATGGATTGGTTAGTGAAATGTTACATATAGTTACGTTTACTTTATTGCAAATTATTAAACAATGACTATGTGTTAATGTTTATGGCGATTGTTAACTAAATATTATTTAATTTAAATGTGTCTTGGTAGAGTTTTATGCGACAAATTCGTAAAAATTTATCGATAATGGGAATTCCTCGATCGATGTTTGATTGTTCGAGTCCTTCACGATAATTGTTATAATTTAAAGCAATTTTTTAACATATAAATTGTTAAGAAACACTAATATTCATTTTATAACATATAAATTTAAGAAACACTAAGTTGAGCACTCTCATTTGATTTTCTTTCTGCCGATAGCAAATGGTATGTGAAAGGCCGTATACCTACACCATTTTTTCCCCTAGCAAAGGCCAAGTTTGCTCGTAAAGGTTAAATTACATGTGAAGTCTAACAATAAATAGGAATGATAATAATAAAAATACAGATCACGTTCGTTCCCAATCATGGTGATTTTTCACAGTGATTCGTGATTTTTCGTGATCGTTTCTGATTGGTGGAGAAACTTAACAGTTCTTTACACGCGACACATAATCTGTGTTGCGGTCCCCGCTGTTGCGGCCCAAATTTGTTGCGGCCTTTTCCAGGGATTTCTTTTAAAAGAGATAAATCAGGCGTGAATCCTCGCCCGTGGTGCCCTGAAGAACTCTGCTCGTTAGGAAATTTTAGACTTCTTTTAAAAGAGACAACTTTAATTTGAAGAACACGTCTTTATTTATCGAGGGTCAATACTGGAATGGTCTCCTTTACAAAACGATCGTTTTTGTTACATCTTGTTAATTACAATATGTCCTTACATACCAGGAGCCAATAAAATAATTATTAAATTATGAAATAATTCCTGATTTGTTAATACATTTCTTTCAGCTATTCATTTTATAATTTTCAAGTGTTTAACATATTTGCCATGATTTAATATATTTTAAAGAAGGAGTAAAAGCGAAACTCGACTGTTAAAATATAATATAAGTTAAATATAACTTCACTTCTATCTCCTTTTCTAATTACAATCATATACCTTAATTTGAATTTCACGCTTGTGAAGCTTACGATAGACGCCGCTACAAGATGAGGCGAGATTCACAACACCTCCACCCTTATGCAAAGGTGTTTTCGTATGGAAAACAGCTTTTTCAAAATGTATATTTACATTAATTCTTTTTGATTAACCAAGCCTACAAATTTTCAACAGAACGTTAACATAATTTTGTCTGTTCCGTCGTTATCTTTTATTATTTTATTTTCTTCGTTCAAGCAATGTCAATTTCGTTGACACAAAGAGTCATAGACAAAAGGAGTGAACATTTGGTCTGCAGTCCGCCACATGCGCTCGGTAACCTGGGACCCATCCGCGCCGGGCCTTACCGGGGCGCGCTGACTCGCAGACAATACGGCTATAAACCCTACCGTTGAGAGACTCGAAGCTTCGTCGCGGTCAACTCGCACCGTGGCCACGTGCGCGATATTTTACCGACGTCCGCTTCACCCTGAAGGAGAGGTTTTCCACCTCCACGTCACGTGGAAAAACCTAGAAATTTGCCTTCCCCTTCAGGGCATAACCAATGAGGAAGCGAGGTTTGGTAACGCCTTGAGCGAATTTAGAGGAAGCAACGAGACACGAAGATCAGATTCAAACCAGAACTCACCCGGTGAACATCACACAAACACACAACTTGTAAATACAGTCATTACGAAACAATCTAAGTGTGCTTTATTTTCTGTTTCGAAATTCTAAAGATCGTGTAACGGTTCGGCAATTAAGTGCGAACATTGCACGACCTAACATTTTGGTCCTTCGAGCCGGATACAAAGTGATCCGGAATTATCGTTTGTTTTGAAACCATCAAAGCCGGAGTGACAGTTTGAGGACTCATACATTGGGATTCCACGACGCTGCCGTTTGGACGCAGCATCCAATCGAAGAAGGGAATCATCTCTGGACCACATCAGCAGGACCACGACGCTGCCGAGCGGACACAAGTAGCTGTCGCCGGAACCGTGGAGTTGTCTACATCTGGTATTTTTTGGGATTCACGACGCTGCCGATCGGACATCTTGAGGAGAGAAGCTGCCGACGGAACCGTGAAAATAAACTACGCTGGTCCAGAGCAACCATTATCAATTGCACCAACTAGCATCGCTCGGTGAGTACAGTGGATCACCGTCCTTTGTTATCTTCTATTTTTTTTTCCTTCGATTTTCACATCATATCTATCGCTATGGCAACAGATCAATCGATGGCTAATGTAAAGGCACTCATTAAACAGAGAACAACAATTAAAAGTCAAGTGACGCGTATAGGTTCTTACGTAAAGGAGAAGTCAGATTCAAATTTTGGTGAATTAGAAGCACGTAAAGAAAAACTTGAGCAATTGTGGAATGCATACAATGAAATTCAGGGTGAAATTGAAGCATTGGATGAAACAACTGATTATACGAGCGAAAGTAAGCAGTTTGAACAGCATTATTATGAGATCAAAGCTTTGTTTGTTAATCGTATGCCGAATTCACAATTTCCAAATCGGGGTGCATCTTCTAGTAAAGCAGTAAATTCATCAAGTGTAAAACAAGCTAATACGCTTTTGCCTAAGATTGAAATTAAGCCTTTTGATGGTAACCCGATTGATTGGCATAGTTTTTATGACACGTTCAAAGACATGGTACACAATAACGAGGACTTACTTACGGTTCAAAAGTTTCATTTTCTTAAAAATTCGTTACGCGGAGAGGTAGCATCGATAGTAGCCCCTCTTGCCGCGTTGGAAGAAAATTATGAAGTAGCATGGAATTTGTTGCAAAAGCGTTGCAACAAACCACGGCAGATTTTACACGCACATTTAAGGTTGCTTTTCGAACTCCCTGAGATTCAGCGTGACACTCCTTCTAATTTAAGATTATTATCGGAGAAAGCTCAGATGCACGTTCAAGCACTAACATTGTTGAAAGAACCTGTAGAGCATTGGGGTACGATTTTAGTATTTATAATAGCTAACAAACTAGACAAACATACACGAAAGGTTTGGGACCGTACTTTAGAAAATGAGGAACGACCAACATTTGATCAGCTTATTAACTTTATTGATAAACAAGCGCGTAGCGATGAGGTTGAATCGACAATTGTATCACCGGTAAAGGGAACTCATCAAGATTATCGAATTAAAGGTAAAATTCCAAGTCGTGGGCAGGCATATTTGGCTACAGGAAAGCAATTAGCGTGCGTATTTTGCAAACAAGGGCATGAAAATTATTATTGTCCTCAATTTATACAGCTCAGTGTACAGGAGAGATTGAGCGCGGTAAAAAGGGCAAGAGTTTGTCTTAACTGTTTAAGAAGCAATCATATGGTTAGTAACTGCAAGTCGATGGGTTGTCGCAAATGTAATCGCAGACATCATAGCTTATTACATTTTAATAACGAGGCTCGGGTTACAATTCCCGACAGTAGTAAAGCAGCAGGTAGTAGCCCATCAGGTAGTGCCTCGCGGGAGAACGCCACCTCTTCAACAGAAACGATCAGAACCGCTTTAACCGTATTGTTTGATTCCGAAGTACTTCTAGGCACAGCGCAGGTAAAAATTCTAGACAATTTGAATGAAGAACATTGCTGTCGCGTGCTCCTGGATGGGGGATCTCAAGCTCATTTTATATCAGAAAGATTAGTTGATCGCTTGAAGATAAAGAAGCAGGAAATAAATTTAACATTTTCCGGATTAAGCAAACTTATTACGCGTGCCCGGTATTATGTTAAATCTGTAATTAAGTCTAGAGATAACACTTTTGCCACTGAGCTAAGATTTATTGTATTACCAACGATTACTGGATTGTTACCAGCCCGACAAATTGATCGTAGAGCTCTTAGTATACCGAACAACATAAACTTAGCTGATCCGGAATTCCATATGCCTAGCGAAATAGATTTATTGTTAGGAAACACTTTGTTTTATCGTGTATTATCGATCGGTCAAATTCGGACATGCAATGAAAATATAATATTACAGAAAACGCGTTTAGGGTGGTTAGTAACGGGAGAGGTGGAATCGCAAGGTGAATTTATTAAACAGGATAGAGTGAAAATGAGTTATTTGGTCACATCATTAGATAAACAAATAGAGCGGTTTTGGGAAATTGAAGAACTTCCGACAAAGCAGTTCTTTTCCCCAGAAGAATTAGAATGTGAGAATCATTTCAAGGAAAATACGTGTCGCGATAGTAATGGTCGTTATATAGTTCGTTTACCTTTTAACGACAAGAAAGATTTATTGGGGGAATCTAAAACTATGGCGTTAAAACGTTTCTACAGTTTAGAACGTAAATTGCATCAGAATCCCGAGTTGTTGAGACAATATATTGAATTTTTAGATGAATATCGAGTTCTAGGTCACATGTATGAAATTACTACATTAGAGGACAATAAAAATGGATTCTATCTTCCACATCATGCTGTGGTGAAGGAATCTAGTGCAACCACCAAGGTTAGGGTTGTTTTTGATGCATCGGCGAAAAGTTCGTCGGGTATTTCTCTTAATGAGGCTTTATTAGTTGGTCCGACCATTCAAGATACATTGTTTACTATTTTACTTAGATTTCGAATTCATTCTTATGTTTTTACGGCAGACATTGAGAAAATGTTCAGACAGATCAAGGTCCATTCAAGCGATGTAACGTACCAACGTATTCTATGGCGTGAGTCTATGGATAAACCTATTAAAACATATGCGTTGAATACAGTCACTTGTGGAACTGCATCAGCACCATATTTGGCCGTGAGTTGTTTAAATCAGTTAGCTGAAGACGAGATTAATAGGTTTCCCATAGCATCAAGAATTTTGAGACGAGATTTTTATATGGACGACGTATTGACCGGCGCATCTAGTTTGGAGGAAGCTTTAGTATTACGAAATGAACTTATCGCATTAACAAAGACTGGAGGTTTTCACTTGAGGCAATGGACTTCTAATAGTATTAAGTTAATAGAAGATTTAGATACGCAGAATAATTTGAAGAGTTTGTCGCTAGATTCGTCCGAAGCTAAGAAAACTTTAGGTGTTTTTTGGAAGCCGTCTACCGATACTATTATTTATACCACAAAGGCATTTGTTGGAAAGACGCGCATTACGAAGCGATTAATACTGTCCGAGATTTCTCAACTCTTCGATCCACTAGGTTTACTCGGACCTGTTATTATCAAAGCCAAAATAATCATTCAGCAGCTTTGGAAGGCTAACATAACTTGGGATGAGCCGGTTCCTCAGAATATAAGTTGTTCATGGTTAGATAACCACGGACAATCCCGGTAAAATCGGCGTGGCATTCAACCTGTTAAATCAGTTAGCTGAAGACGAGATTAATAGGTTTCCCATTGCATCAAGAATTTTGAGACGAGATTTTTATATGGACAACGTATTGACCGGCGCATCTAGTTTGGAGGAAGCTTTAGTATTACGAAATGAACTTATCGCATTAACAAAGACTGGAGGTTTTCACTTGAGGCAATGGACTTCTAATAGTATTAAGTTAATAGAAGATTTAGATACGCAGAATAATTTGAAGAGTTTGTCGCTAGAGTCGTCCGAAGCTAAGAAAACTTTAGGTGTTTTTTGGAAGCCGTCTACCGATACTATTATTTATACCACAAAGGCATTTGTTGGAAAGACGCGCATTACGAAGCGATTAATACTGTCCGAGATTTCTCAACTCTTCGATCCACTAGGTTTACTCGGACCTGTTATTATCAAAGCCAAAATAATCATTCAGCAGCTTTGGAAGGCTAACATAACTTGGGATGAGCCGGTTCCTCAGAATATAAGTTGTTCATGGTTAGATTTA